CTTTCTACTGTTGCTTTAAAACTTAATTCACTCCTATGCAAAGTAAGCCAGGCAGAGTGAGCCACGACGTGTTTTTTTATTTTCTTTCTTTCTGCGTATCTGGCACCACTTTCTCTTGTAAGCTTGCTCTTAAATGGAGACAGTGCATCCAAGGTAAGGATATTACCTCAAACCTCCTCTCTATAAATAGGCCTGGCTGCCTTTCTGAGGTTGTTCATTCTGCTGTCAGAATATGGCTAAATGACCACTTAAGAATTCCAACATGTGCTTGATGTAGAGATTACAGCTGCTATCCAAAACAAAGGAGGTTTCTCTCCTCACAAAATACTGCTCCTTTTACGAAGCAGTTTGGAAAACTCCCATCTTTCAGGAGGGTTCAATCTACGCCCTGGTGCTTCTTTTGTGTGAGGAATGAGGGCACGTAAACAACTGCTTCCTCCAAACCTAAAAGAGACTGGCATTGTTGAGTATCCACCAGAATATATCTGAGGTCCGGATAGTCATAGAAGAGGAAGATGAGACGCTCGTTTAATCCCTGGGGGAGCAAAATACAAAGATGCATCAACATGGCGTAGGATGGCAGCGTATGGGGATGTCAACCAGCAACAGTGCAGGCGTACAGCACTGCCCCTGTCCCTCCTCGCCTCCCCTGGAGCCTGGACCCAAAGGGAAAGGAGCTTAGTTTGGGCTCAGGGCTGTGCTCACCTGGCTGTACTGGAGCGGTGGACCAGTGAGAGTGTCTAGCGAGTGGCGGTAGCTGAAGGTGGCTAGTGAATGTTAGCTGGTACACAAATATGAGGTTTTTGGAAAGAATGTAATTTATTGAATACTTCTAAACAAACAGCTGCATTTTCTCACAGGAGTTTTAACAGGGCCAAAGAAAGCTACGGTTTTCTCATACTTTGTTCTGACACTATTTTTTCCTGCTTGAGGCGTTTTGCAAAGGAAATGGGAACTGCTGCACTCGTTTGATGGATGTGGGAATGGGATGATCAGGTGAAGGGGTGTTTCCTCCTGTCCCTCAGCAAGTCCAGGCAGAGTTTAGAGCAGAGTTCCCCACCATGAACCCTCTGTTAGATGAGAGCTTCCATTATATACGAGGCATCGGGACAACACGTGAGCATGAAGTAGTGGCTCCTGTCCTGGGAGAGTCTTGTCCATTCTGGTGTGGCTGAGTTGAAGTGTGGCTAACCCAGAAACAACTTTTTCTTTGAGTTCTGGCAATGTGACTTTGGGCCTAATTTATTCACTTATGCTTGGCTAGCATCTCCGGCTGCCGTTGTGTCTCTACAAAAATATAATTAACTTTCTCCTCAGCAGCCACAAGGCAGATGGCCATCATAGGCTTGGCAACAGCAAGCCAGATGGCACAGTGAAGGTAGCGGGTGAGGGGTGGCCGTGTCCCCCCACCTACAAGCTTCGCTACGGGAGTTGTGCATATTCTGTGGGTGGCCAGTATTTATATTTGCTTGTAAATTATGGCCCGCAAAATGCTAAATGAGTCTGGCCGCAACCTCAGAGCACAGCCCGGCTCCTGTGACCACAGGTTTGAGTCTCGTTAGTGGTGCTGCACTCACCTCACAGCTACAAAAGAGCCCTTTGTGCAGGTTCTCATGCTCCTCCCAAGCTGAGCACTTCTCAGCTACCCACCTGGGGCTCCACGGTCTCACGCCTTTTCCTGGTCCGTATCTTAGCCTCATCACTCCTGGGTATGATGATGCTTTTGACTCAACTAGACTTGCTTGCAGCTACCCAGAGCTCTTAGCCATCAGTCAAGACACCTACTACTCTTCTGCCATCTGGTCGTCTCCTTTTCTGACATCTCCAGAGCTTCACTCTTCACCCACTTGCCACTTCATTGCACATCTCATGAAAGGCAGTACCAGGGAAATGCCTCCTCACTACCAGTGCAGAAGCCTGTTGCTCCTGCAGGTGGGAGATGTGACTCTAGAGGAAGGCAATGCTAACAGCCTAACCGAGTCTTAGCCTTCCCAAGCAATTCATGGCCAGCAGTAGGTGACACATCTCTGTATCTGAAGCATCTTACGGGAGGGCATCGGTAGTAGGCACAGCTTGCCACAGCTGAGTTGCTAAACACAGATTGCCACTGTTTTAGGAAGGCAAGACTTATCATTTAGGCTCTGCTGAGCAATCCAGCTAATATTGTCTTTATAACTCAGCCTGGCATACTCTGATGTCCTCATTTCCCCCATTTGCTGTGGCTGTATCAGTCCCTCAACCTAGCCACATTACATGAGAGGGAAACCTCAGCTCCTATCTGAGACCGTAAGCTTGGTTTCCTTAATACTGAGCTCATTTCCCAGCGAGGGTGACAAGAAGCTTCAATTTACTCTCTCTGAGGGAGTTTTATTTTGAATGGTTTATGCAAGCTAGAGCAGAGCTGCAGCGAGGGGCAGGAGCTGCTCTCTGGGGCCGCAGCACCTCCTCCGTCCCCAGCGCAGCCCGGAGGGGCAGGGAGGCCGAGAGGCTCTTTCGTGCAAGTAAACATCCAAAGGACATAATCTGCCACTTGTCTCATGCTAACGCAGGTACCGTCAGCTGATGGTTTTCGATGGAGATGTGCGTGCACTAACGGGAAATTGCCAGGCTAGAAGTAATTAAAAAAAAAAAGTTCCTTTCTGCATGTTATAATCATTCTGAATTATTAAACAAGACAGAATTTTTAAAGTCTAATTCATTTTTCCATTATTTATGCTGTTTGCTTCAGTTTTATCCCGTCTCTAGAGTAGCATGAATTCACCAGAAAGTTTCACTTTCGACTTGTGACACGGTCAGTGTTTGAGGCTGCCAAGATAGCAATAAAGAAAAACGTGGGGTGGGGTGGTGGGGGGGGGGGAGGAGGAATCCTTTCTCTTGCTGTTCAGTATTGCATTTTTTTTTTTTCCTTTCCATGCACAACTTTGAAATTCCAAGTCATTTCTGGCACGGCACCTACAGGATGGGGATTTTTTCCAGTTGCAGCAAAAGGCCGCTTCCTATCAGAGGGAAATGTCAGCACATCGGAGGCATGGGGTATGGAGCAGCGCATGGACAGATCTGTCCAGGCAGTAGGTATAAGCGTTCATGCCTGCATAGTAGTGCTGTCTTCCAGCCCTTGCTAATATATCCCAGTTCTAGCAGCAATCCTTGCTGCTTAAACGCTCTGAAACAAAAGGGTTTTAAAACATAATTTACTGTTTCTTTTTTTGACATATTTCTAAATCAGTTCAGTATGTCTTGAACCACTAAACTAAAGCGTTTGACTTGCTTCCAAATTGAAGTGTTCATAAAAAAGGAAAGGGCAGAGGGGGGGAAGAAAATGCAAGAAAAAGAAAAGTGCTCCGATAGTTTAAATCAGTCAGCCCTGCATAGTGATTTAAAACCAGTGGAGCACTTCAAGTTTTCATAAGCACTTAGCTTTGGAAGCAGTCCGAGTCCTGGACACGTGCATTTGTGGAATCATTTACCATTATTAGAGAGTTTGAATGGTGCTTGAGCTCTCCCTCTGCCCTGATAAGCCCTTCGATTGCCTATGATTAGTTGGGTGGCTGCAAGCTTGTGCACAGTTGAGAGTGATTATTTTAAAGCGTGCCATCGCCTGTCCCTATCTTCAAAGATCTGAGATCGTCCAAATTCATTAATTCCTTCAGCTCATCTGAATGGAAATTGCTACATAGTTACCTCAGTGCGATTTTATAGCATGTGTCAAAGAGAATAATAAATGTTTGCAAGCAGGGCAGATGGAGCAATACCGTGCGTGTCGTGGAGCGCTCCTGTGCTGGGTAAGACTTGTTATTAAGATAGGAGAGTGTAGCGCCTCTGTGCCCTAGTCGCGGGCTGGGAAATTCTGGGTTTAGATGCCTTGATGCTTCCTAGAGCCAGAAAGGGCAGATGGACAATACATGATCTACTCAACTGTTGTTTCATATTGCACTGCATTTTACTGATGGACAATATTTGGTTAACCCAAGTCCAAATTCTCGCACCAACCGGCCGAAAGTCAGTGACGCTGCCAGATGAAGCTGTGCAAATAGCTGCTCTTTCGGGTTTGCTGGCCGAAACGCGAAAGTTGGAAAAAATTGTAAGAATTCAGTTTGACTAAAGATGGAAATATTTTGCTTTTTTGGAGCTAAATGAAAACCTGGTAGAAACCACCCTGTTTCTTCTGTTTTGTTTTTAAGCTTTTTTGGTTGCTAACTGCAGACAAATTTTGAAATAAAATCCCGTTGCAAAAAAAAAAAAAAAAAAAAGGAAGCATTTTGGCTTGAAGTCATCTGAGCAATTTCCCCCACGTCTTTTGCTGGGGTGGTAAATCAGCAGAAAATGCAACCCCAAATTCCCAGTTTTCCATGGGAATTTTTGACTATCAAAAAACACATGGTCCACTACGAGAGCAACTTTAAATGCCCAAATTTGTACATGACACAAGTAGGGCTCATGATCGATATTCTGCGGTTCACCTGCACATGAAGCAGAGGGCTTCGCACACAGCCCTTCGCAGGGCACGGAGCTCTCCTGCCTGCGCTCGGGAAGATGCCAAGAGTTTGAACTTTCGAGAGGGTCCCTAGATCCCTCCATGTGGAAAATCAGAACAATCTGCTGGCAAAGAGGTCAAATTGGAGGCAGAAGAAAGATAATCCCACCCCGCCTCCTCCCAGACGTGCAGCCAATGGTCTCTGAAGCCCCGTCCCTCTCCCAAGCTCCCACAGCCTCTTTCATGACATCATGAACTGGCTGGTCTTTAAAAAAAAAAAATAGAGGGAGTTTGCGCTTGCAAACGAATGATGGAAGTTGTGATGCCTGCTCCCTTTCTCTGGGGACCTGGTGTCGCTGGGCCCCGAGTGCAGTCACCTGTAAAGGGTGACTGACTCAGATGTAGAAATTTAAAATCAGGGCAGATGACTCCCTCTCAAAGTGCCTTCTCTCACCAGGGTACCCCTCAACCCCACTGTCTCAAGCAGGTTAACCCTCACAGCAGCTCCCTTTTACAGGAACGGAGGGACAATGTGACTTTCTGCAGGTGGTTATACGAAGTTATACGAAGAGCAGAAATGAAAAGTGTGTCTTCCAAGACACAGGCCAACATACTGAATGTGTTCATCCTTCCTCCTGTGTCCCCTGCGTGCTCCACGCTGTACTTGTCTGCAGTATTAGCCTGCAAAGTTGCAGAGCGTTTCACACACGCAGCACTAAGGTAAATAAAGCAGTCATTTTTTCCTGACATTTAAGGAAGTAGGTATCTACTGATTTACTTCTAGAGTAATCTCATTGTCCCTAAAAGATTGCAAAGGGCTTTAATGCGTTTGCAAGCTCTGTGCATGTATCTGGAGATCATGTCAGTGTGGGACTGCAGCAGGGCAGAGATATAGAGTTTAATTTCGAGTGGGAAGCATTATACGCTCTTCTGACACCCCACTGAAATTCAGCTGCTGAACTGGTTGCAATCATTCATTCAAATAGCTGAGTGAAAAGCTGTTCTTGCAAGGACAAATTTAGAGAATGTTTTGGAGATGATGGATGGGAAACCAAAGAAAAACCTCAAAACCATTGATTTTACATGTCTCCAAGATTCCTGTGTCCTAAAGAAATGTACAGCAGGAAACCATTCCCTATCTCCCTCTCCTACCCTCCCCCACTACCCTTACGGTTGTGTAAAAGAAAACAAACAATTTTGGGACAGATCTAGCAGCCACTTCTTCAAAGGAGCAAGTCGTATGTTTACATACCACCTTCCTAACCTATAGAACAGGGAGAAATTGGGTCTAAAGAGGGTTATTGCCTTCTGAAAATGCAAAAGGAGTTTGAAGCGCAAAGTCATTGCCTAAATATAGCTGTGATAAAGGGGGACAACTCTTGCGTAGCTGCTCTAGTATCATTAATTACAGCAATGCAGTGTGTGGTCAGAGCTCTAGCCTGGGACACTTTGACCACCGGCTGTCTGAATGATGCTCTTCAAGCCATTTCATAGCTCGGTGCCTCAGTTTCCCCCTCTGTAAAATGGAGGCAGGGATTCAGAGCTCCCCTGTGAATAGCTTTGAGCTATACTCATGTACTGCTCTAAAACAAAGGCCTGAGAGAGGCTATTTTTTTGATATGTCAAGGTCTCCTTTGTCTCATTTTACATTCCTAAGGGGGGCAAAATACACCTGCATGTCTAGTGGTCTGTAAGGAGAAAGTCACTCTCATTATTAAACTGTTATTTTTATGAAGCTATAACTTATGGGCTCTCAATACTTATGTTATAGTAGTCAAAAAACAGGATGAGATTCCATAAACCGTTCTTTATAGTAACCAGATGTTCATCAATGCTGCAAAGGTATCTAACAGTGTCTACTGCCGAGAAACACCTGCATTAACCTTAACTATCGACATGCCAGCCAGAAATAGCAGCTGGTGGGATCACCTCTCTCATGAAAGCTGCTGACCAGCTCTGGGTGCCGCTCCAGGCCACTTGGGTGTGTTCTTCAGGAAGATCCCAGCTCACCGCAGATGAGGCTGCCAGCTCGTGTCCTCTCCGAGACCCTTTGCGCTAGCAGAAGATGTTGGGTCCCATCAGCCATCCCTGGGTCACCTATCGTCTTAGAGGCATCTCCCTCCCCTCCCTGGTGCTTCTGGCTTGCACGCTTGCGCCGTCCATTAGCCGAAATGAGCTAGCTCAAACCGGGTAAGTAGTAGATCGGTGCTAACCCGTGTCACATTGGCTGAAAGACCAACCACCAGAGCCGTGTCTGCTAGCCAGCAGGAGGAGGACATTTCATGGGGTAGGTGACAGCGGCGAGGGAAGGCACTTTCTCTCCCTTCCAGGTAGATTTTGCTGGTGGGGAGGAGGCATTTTTGCCTGGTCGACATCCGGCCTCTGCCTCAAAGACAGCAGCATGAGAGCACATGAGCCAGCATGTGACCTCCGGGGCATGGAGAGCCTGTTTAACAGAGAATTTCTGAAGAAAAGGGTAGTGCAGCCAGGAGTGGGTGTAAATGTTACTGCGGCATCTACGTGCCCAATAATTCTTAATAATGGGAGGTTTGCAACATCTCATGTGGCAAGGAGGTGCTGCAACTAAAAGGCTTATTTCATCTCTCCTAAAAATCAGAGCTGCTATGTGAGGCAGTGAATGAACAGAACTGGTGGAAAGAGAAGAGAAGAGAAGAGAAGGGAAGGGAAGGGGAAAAGAAAAGAAAAGAAAAGAAAAGAAAAGAAAAGAAAAGAAAAGAAAAGAAAAGAAAAGAAAAGAAAAGAAAAGAAAAGAAAAGAAAAGAAAAGAAAAGAAAAGAAAAGAAAAGAAAAGAAAAGAAAAGAAAAGAAAAGAAAAGAAAAGAAAAGAAAAGAAAAGAAAAGAAAAGAAAAGAAAAGAAAAGAAAAGAAAAGAAAAGAAAAGAAAAGAAAAGAAAAGAAAAGAAAAGAAAAGAAAAGAAAAGAAAAGAAAAGAAAAGAAAAGAAAAGAAAAGAAAAGAAAAGAAAAGAAAAGAAAAGAAAAGAAAAGAAAAGAAAAGAAAAGAAAAGAAAAGAAAAGAAAAGAAAAGAAAAGAAAAGAAAAGAAAAGAAAAGAAAAGAAAAGAAAAGAAAAGAAAAGAAAAGAAAAGAAAAGAAAAGAAAAGAAAAGAAAAGAAAAGAAAAGAAAAGAAAAGAAAAGAAAAGAAAAGAAAAGAAAAGAAAAGAAAAGAAAAGAAAAGAAAAGAAAAGAAAAGAAAAGAAAAGAAAAGAAAAGAAAAGAAAAGAAAAGAGAAAAGAAAAGAAAAATCTCCTAGAAAGACATACCTCTGGTTTTGCAAAGGAAAATGCTGCCATTCCAAATGTTTTGATCCACGTGTATCCCAGCTTCCTTACAATACCTACAACAGCTGAATATTTGATTAAAATAAAATTGTGCAAAACCACCATTTCAGGAAGGGCAACAACTTTTGTGAAACAACTACCAGCAGTAAGCTGTAGCTGTTAGGAGAGGCATTTTATTTAAGACCATTTCTCCTTGCTCACTGCCAAATTGCGCTTTTGTAACCCGTTAAAGCAATATTTCCTGCACCACGCCAGGGAGCTCTGCAGCCTCTGTGCAGGGAGGAAATGCAGAGGCTCTCGTGATGCCCCTCTTTGCCGGTAGCCGCACGAAGGGGCATCTGACGCAACCTGCATCCACACGCCGCTCTCCTGCATGGCTGAGTTTCCTCAGAAAAGATGAAAGAAAGCGAACCAAATCCTTACTCCTGCGGTCTTTCTTCGGAAAGCTACATCATTTTCAGTTTCCCAGCTGATGAGTCACGCATCCTGGCCTCGCTGACATCCTGCCTCTCCGGCCGGGGGCTGAGAGTGACGAGGGCCGAGCCCGCGGGTGGACACAGAGGGTGTTTAGCAGGGAATTTCCGAACAAGAGACTAACCTACCTAGGGGCTGAAGCAACCACCGCCACCACCGTATTGACGTGCTTTGTAAGTGCGAATATCGGCACGCACCCTGGGCAGCAAGGAAGTGCTGTTATCTCCACTTTGCAGCCAGGGAGCCAGGGCAGCGAGGCTGAGCGCCATAGAGGAAGTCCCCGGCAGAGAAGCAAATACAACCCCTCTCTCTCGGATCCTAGGCTAGCGCCTTCACGATGCCATTGCTCCTCTTCCCTAAAGAGTAAACACAAACATTCAGATGTTTTTTCCTTAAAGCAAAAGGTAGACTACAGTCCCAAAGGAGGACACCTAGTGATCCTGCAGATTTCTGTAACCAATAGCTATTTCCACACTTTCTGCAGGGTTTTTAAATTGCGTAGTTATTTATTTTCATTATTGGCTACAGACATAAACCCCTCACAGAATCACAGGACGGTTGGGGTTAGGATGGACCTCTGGAGATCACCTGGTACAACACTCCTGCTCAAGCAGGGTCACCTAGAGCACACTGCCCAGGATCTTACCCCTGATTTCTTTGACATAAACTCCCAAGAGTGACTTTCTCGCCTCAGATTTCTGGTGTCCAGGGAGCATCTGTCCTCTGAAGAGCCCAGGCTACCTCTAAAAAGGGCAAACAAAAGTGGTCTGAGGTCTGATCATCCAGGTCTGGGGAAGTTTGAAGGTCCTCCAGTCACCACAGGATGAACTAGCTGGAAGTCTGCTTCTCCTTGCCCTGACTCTCCATGCCGTGCTTCTCTATCCTCTACCTCGCTGCCCCCTGCCCCAAAACAGTACTGCCTTCGCACACATCATTTCTGACAGTGACAAGTCCAGCTAACCAGTCGTCCTTCCGAAGAGCTTTTGAATATGTGAGGAATCCACCACCAAAGGACAAGTTTGCATCTGCCCTCCAGCATCTCCACTTCTATTTTAAACTGAACTTCCAGACACTTCCTGAAAATAGTTGATGGCTGATGTCCCTTCCTGAGAAATCAAGTGCTCCCAGCTATCTGGGTTGGAAAGGGCAGTTACCCAGAAACAAGGAACAGTGGAAAGCGTTGATTTCTGGAGTATTCCAGTGTGATATCAAAGCATGATGAGGAATGGAGGATCAGGGGGGTGCCAACACTTGTGAGCTTAAGCTATAAATAGAGTGACCCACAATTATTCTTAGAAATTGAGTCATTAGCTCACCGCATTAATTGATGATATTTCTACTAAGTCAGTGGGCGTTTGCGCTATTTAGGACAGAGGCTGAAGTGCATTGGCCTGCACACAAAGACAACTTAAAAAAGCAATTCTTTCAGTCTTAAGCAATGTTTTCCCTAACAGGACGACGTGTTTAACAGTGACGTAACTTATTCAAATCAGTCATGTGCAGCCCTGTTTGGCTATGAAGGCACGTAGGGGAGGTGCTTCTCCCCAACGCTGGCTGGTCCCTGTCTGCAGCCACCAGGCTTTTTCCCTTGGGGATTGCTAAAAGCCTTGTTAAAAGCAGTGGCTGGGGTAGAGCTGGAGAAGGCGGATTGAGAAGAAGCTCCCCTTGCCACCGGGGTGCTCAAGCTGTCTCAGGAAATAAACACCCGCAGCTCTCGTCTGCACTTGAGGATGGGCCTGGAAAACCCAGGAAGCAAATTGCTCCCTGGACCTGAATTTTCACCTCTTCCCTGGGGCACTGGTGGGCACTGCACCAGGAGGGAAACAGGCACCTTCAGGGGATTCAGCCACCAATATGGGCTTTTTCTGCCCCGAATTTGGCTGTCTCTACCGAGTGCCCGGGGTTAGGAAGCTGCGCTGGACCCAGGTATATTTTGAAGGGAAGTTTGGTGGCATCTCACTGCTTTCAATGGCATTTCTGTGCACAAGCTGAGCCCGTGCATGGGTGCGGGTGTCCAAATGGCAGCACTTTACACTGTCCAGTGGTGATTACGTGTCAGCACAAAGTGCAAGGCCCAGGGGTGTTTCTTCCCGTGTTTTGCACCTCTGCCTCTTTGACTCTGAACATGTTCAATATGTGGTTCCTCCAGGCTGAGAGGGAAACGGGGATTTCCCTGCTGCTCTTGTGGTGCTGACTCTGGCATCTGGTCTGCACAAGTAAATCTATTCACACAAGCAGGAAGAGGATGGGTAACTTAGCCCCAGAAGTTTTTCCTTTTACAAATTTATGGATCTTTCCCTGTGTGAGAGCTAAGTTCTTTCCCTGAGCAAAATTCCCAGGTCAATGGCTTGATTAATAGCTGGAAAACTTTTTCCTGTGGACTCTGGAAAGACTTTCCACACGGTATTAGCCAAGAAAGCCAGGGAAAACCTGCAAAATTGTTTTAAATTTTATAAATTCATCAATTTCAAGAGTCAGCTGAATAAAACCACCAGGCCTTCCTGGGTGTTCAGCCTTACAAAGGAGAATGACATATAAAATAATAGGTCTAAAATATTCTGAAAGACTGAGGCTCTGTTTAATTCACGGCATGCCAAAATATGTGACTAATGACCATCTCAAATTGCATAAAGAGCTGAACTAGTAGAGGTCGCCTTAATTTCCTCCACCTTAACTAGTGCATCTCTGATAAGCAGCATGGCTATTAGAAAATGGGAGTAAGCCAAAACAGAGCATTCCTCATCTGAGTGTATACGGGATAAAGGGAAAAAAAAGGTGTCTCAGAAATTAATATGTCTGTAGCGTTTCCCAGAGTGACTCCTGTTCAGACAAGCATAACATTTGCAATTTCCCTTTAACATTTTTCACTGGGTAAGGTTTTTTTAACCGGAATAACCACTAACCTATTCAGAATGTGAGGCTAGGTCAAGATTGGATTTTGGAAAGTCTGATGCTACATGAATTTCACACTCATTTGTAACCGACTCTGCATTGTGTTAGAGGGTGCAGGGCATAGGGATAAGACAGGCTTTCGCTCTCTTTCCAGGAAAAATTATGTGCCATGTCTTACGTCTGTGCTTAGCTCAAATACAGGTCATCAATGCCTGACAAGACCACGAGGCAAAAATAATACATACATTTTAATGGATTTCCAGGTAGTGCATTGATGCAAATTAGATCTTTCAATTGGAAACGTACAGGTGTGTTCAGAATATTGAAAGCGTTACGTGCCAGTTGGAAACTGTGATTTGTCCTTCAGCCAAACTAGACCTATTCTTCCTCGTGCGTCTCACCTGAGACTTTAAAGGGAATACGTTGGCCCAGAAGACCCATTTCCTCGATGGCAGGCGGAAGCTTTCTCCCTTTGCAGCAGGGACACTCTGGGGAATACGGGAATTAATCCTTCAGTGGAAGTTTTGGGAGGTCTGTCCCAAAACCAGTGCCCAAGGCAGCTGGCAAGTAGCTCCCAAACATGCTCAGCAGAGAGGTGCATTGACTGGAGTCATCTCGTGGCATCATGCCCTGTCCACCTCCAATCCCCTGCACTGCTGGCCACCAGAAACAGTTAGGGAGATATTCTCTCTGGCAGCACCTCGGAAGATACCAGCTACCAACGCAACTGTTTCAACAGAGAATAGTCAGATGTTGACCAACTCCTCTTTGCAAAGATGAGGCCTTGCACTTAGCCTGAGCTATCTAAGGTGCAACCTCTTAAATTATGGGAACATGACAAATCATCGTGATCATCATCATTAGAGAGCATAGGTCATCAGGCCAGGTTTAGCTGTTTGCTCTAGGAGGAGACGAATCCTGGACTTTATTGATTAGATCTCCATTGACTGCAAAGGGAGACTGGGGAACTTGCTCAGATGAGCAATTTAAGTGTCTGCTTTTATCAAATGAGT